TATGAAGTCGTTTTCAGGCCGCAGCTTGGAAGTTCGACGCGCGCCCCCCCCCCCTCCCCTCGGCGTCGCGGGGTGGCCCACCTTCGAACCTCGACTGCAAGCGCGTCAAATACTTTGGGCCCGACCAGAAACCGGGCGAAACTACCTGCGCCAACTGCATAACTTTCAAAACCACAAGCTCTCAAAGCCCCGCCGCACGCGCGCCGGCGCGCGGGCCCCGCGCCCATTCGTAGACAAGTTGTGCGGCGGCCGAGAGAATTGCTCAACCATGGCTGATGCATATATCCTTCGCGCGCGGAGCATGCGCATCAGCGCCCGCCCCCCGCCCCCACCCCCCGCGCCTTGCATGGTCGGCAAACGCGAGCAGGGGCCAACGCCCGCCCCGACGAGGAGCGGCACTGCTTGAAGCAAGCCGGTCCGAAGCTCCAAATCAGCGGTCGCAAATCAGCCTCTCGGGGGCTCTTGGGGGCGCGTGTCCGGCTCCTGGACGTCGTGGTTCGGTGGGCCACTCGCGTGCGATCCGCGCAACTTCTGACTCGTGGTGCTCGTCGTCCTATGCGTCCCAATATTGCCGGGTAGATCGACGTTGGCAAAGTCCTTCAGAATCGATTCCTTCGGGGACCCCCCGCACTCGGCAATCTTGTCGAGAGTCCATCGCAGCCTGGAAATTACAACCCAAGTGAACGCATCCAATCTCTTGCTCTGTCAATTTGGCCATGCAGCTTGCCCATCGGCGCGCTGCCCTCAAGAGGTCGAAGTGAGCAACGCGGGCCCCGCAGAGAATCTCCACCAACGCATTTGCACCAGTGGGTTGCAGGCGCCCCGAGGGGGCGGGATCAGTGCTTCTCCTGTCCTGGGTTGTCTCGCTCAACGATTCCCCATGATCCTGAAACTTCTGATCTGGGGTCCGACATCGGCCTCGATGATCAACAAATCGGCCAGGGCCTCTTCGGCGGGGAAAGCCATCTCCCCTCCTGAAACCCCCTGCCCGCCCTCGCGGTTTCCTTCCTGCGGCCCGGAAGGCGCGCCCGCTGCCGGGTGGGTCCGCGGGGCAGCATTTGCCGCTTCAGCGCGCCACGCTACGTGCGAAGTAAAGGAGTCTCCCGTGCCGTACTCCATGACTGTCGCTGTCGTCTGGGCTTGCAACGCAGGGCTCAGCGGGCGCGCCTGCGGCGTCCTCGACCGACACTTCCGCGGCCCAGCTATGCGCGCGCTGGCCCTCAGCGGGGCCCGCGAAACCGCCGTCGTGAAACGGTGCGGTAATAACGTTGGCTGCCCCCGCGTAACATTCGTGACTCGGCCTCTGCTGGTTAGCGGAAGCGCGGGCGCATTCGTCGCGAACGACGATGCCCGCAACGTTGCCGACAATGGCTCGACGTACAACGTCGCCCCAGTCGGACCCACCTCGCAAAGACGTCTGATTGTTGTTAGCGCTTGGGCGAAGCCGGGCCCGATGCTCGCCCGTCACATGGTACATTCTGGGGCGAGCTGGGGCGGCGCCAGCGGCCTCTGTCCTGGAAGCCTCTGGTGGCGGAGGGCCAAAAGCAATCGGATTCTCGCCGCGCTCGTTAATCTCTCGTTCGCGGACCTGGCGCTCGCGCCCCCAGTGCCGCCCGACCGCGGTCAGCGGGCCCATCTCGACCGCCATCGGGGGCATTTCCAGACGGCGTCTGCAATGACTCCCAATCCCGCTACATGGGAACCAGGGCCCACCTAGCTTGCAGTCATCAGCGTAAACTGCCATAAACGTTAGTTTCTGAATGGAAATAAAATCTGACCCATCAAAAGATTGTCGCAAACCCATCCGCGGCAGCACGAGATTCGCGAGGCTTGTCCCGACGGCCGCGGGGTCGCGCAGATCCGTCCATCTTCTAGGCCGAGCCTCTCCAGGCAGTCGCGCCCGCGCAAGTGTCTCGCCCAACTTGGGCCGAACGCACGCGTGCCGGGATCGGCCTGCTCCGCCCCGCGCCCGGGGAAATGGGGCCATGGTGTCCGCGGCCCTGCGGCCTTGCGTGCTTGCGCGCTGGCTGGGGTGCTCGACAAGTCCTGCGTCGGGGCAACCTGTTTGTCGCGATTCCGACGCCAACTCCTTCCAAGACCACTCTTCCCCTGAACGTCCCATGTGGATGGTCTTTGGGCATTCCGGATCTCTCGTCCAGCAGCGTGGGAAAGGGTTGCCCCGCGTGCGTCGCTTGCCCCATGAACGTCTTCAGAATCCGAACACTCCATCGCGGCCGGTTCATCCAAATGCCTGACGCTTCAGAGCCTGCCCCTTTTCCGCCCCGAGGGGATCGGTGGCCCTCTCGCCGCCAGCTTCCTGCGAGCCAATGGATATTGCCACCGCGCCCAGAGGCCCAGGGCGGACAGAGATTTCGGCGGGCAGTGAGAGAGGGAGGGCTTTGCATTCCCGCGACACATGAAAGAATGGGTCGCGACAGAGTCTCGATCCAAGTCCCCAGGTCTTTTCGCGCTGAGTTTAGTATGTCGCATATCCTCGGGG